TGGTGCCAACAAACCTTTGTAAGTAAAAAACGGTTTCACTCTTGTAGCAAAATGTAACTGCGACAGCAGGGGCTAGAGTCTAACACTCCAAAATAGAGGGAAATGTGTGATGTTTTGTCATATCGATATATCTGCTTAGCCCAGTGATTCTCAACCTACCACTGTGGGCCACATAGGTAGCTCTCTGTGTGTCATGTGGACCGCATCCACACAATATATATACCACCTGTATGACCCTAAGGATGTCACCTGGGCTGCAACTGGGTGCAGTCTGGGCCACAAACTGCCTGCTGGCCTTAGGTTGAGAACCACTGGCTTAGATATAGTAGTATGAAAAGGCATTTGCCCTATAATTACACAGTGCCCAGAAATATTGAAATTACATGATTAATACAATGACACAAAGTAAACCAGGGCTGGGGTCATCCCCACAGCTCTGAATGGCTGACAGCTATTTAGCTACTAGGAATTCCTCAACTAAAACAGAAAGCAGGCTTTGCTTGCCCCATGCAGCATGTTTCAGTTTGAGTGAGTCCATGTTCCCAGCCTGGACTCTAAATGTACGCATTGGGAGAGGTCTTTTATTTGAATATCTCTGTATAAGGTTTAAAGTGTAATGTACCTGGCTCGTCTGAAAGCTACTAAAACGATTGCATAGGAGACAGGGTGTGGAGGAATGCTCCCATTTACAAAATCTTCTTTATTTTTATATAAATAACATAGCCATAAATGTACAAATAAAGGAAAAGGAGATTCCATGTCACTTTCATGTCAATGTATAAAATCTAATGAGAAATGATGGAAAAGCTATACCTGTAACTGCAATGTGGTGTATAAAGCACTTACAAACTAATTCTTTCCCACAGGTATATATTAAATTCTACCGATGAATGCAACACTAAGTGCCATAGCAACATAGCAGAAACAAAAATTTAGAGAGAGAGGGGGAGAGAGCGTGGCTGAGCTGCTGCAGCTTTGGACAGGGAGCCAGGCAGTGGGCGGAGAGTAGGGAAAAGACACAGGAGGCAAATCCTGCTGTCCTTACTCGGGCACAAGACCAAAAGCCAGCTGGCAGCAGTGAGAGTTGTGTGTGTGGATGGAGAGCAGTAGCCAGCCCTTGTATATGTTTATAGTTATTTTCAATGGACAGGGCCTGGAAGATGTGAAAGGATGTGATATGCAGAGCTCAGTAAAACACTCACAAGGGATCATTTATATAGCATGTTTGTGGTGTCCCTAGCCTCCGTTTGCCAGAAGCTGGGAATGAGCGATGGGGGACGGATCACTTGATGATTGATTCCCTGTTCTGTTCATTCCCTCTGGGGCACCTGGCATTGGCCACTGTTGGCAGACAGGATACTGGGAGAGATGGACCTTTGGTCTGACCCAGTAGGGCCATTCTTATGTTCCTTTTCCAATTTCCCACCAGACAGCAAGATCCTGCCTTAGGACTTCGTGGTGCTGCCCATCACTAGTATCTGGGCATCTTCTGTGCAAACTAGAGAAGTGATGGCAAAGTCTCTTGGCTGTCCTGGTGTTCCGGCTCTTCTACCTTTTCAGGTTACACTAAAGCCTCTGCTTGGAGCAGAATTTCTGGGTTGTGTTTTTTAGGGAGTTGCGCTTGTTGTAAAGGTCGGAAAGCAAAACTGACATTCATAATGTGAAATTACGTATAAATTTCTTTGCATATTTTCCCCTGTGCAAATTGCAATTCATAGACGTGTTCATTGCAAATATACACAATTCAAGCTTCAAAAATTTGACTGTGATAGGCTAGTCACGTTCGTCATCTGGAATTGTTTGTTTCTTGACTGGATGATTTCTGTACCTAACAGACAGCCTTCGCTGTGAATTTCAGTTACTGTAGCTAAATAAGCAATTAAAAATTCGTTCCCATTGAAAAGTCCAGTTTCAAATTCCTTGTTGACAAGTATCGGTTCTAGTAGAACTTGGGCCCCTGAATGTTTGCAGAAAGTTAACACACCAGGGTCATGAACGAAGCTGACTGAACACGTGCTTTTCACTTGTGATGGATTTTACCCACCATCCTTGCAGCCACTCTGGCCAGGTCCGGCGAGGTTAAATTAACCCTGTCAACAGCCAGCAGCTTAAAGCGACATTTCCCACCTCTCGACAGAGCTGCTGGGATTGGGTGCAGGGGCCAGTGGAAGGTTCCAGTGCCGTGGCTCCCGCCAGCAGCTCCAGCCTCCAACACCTGCACTGTACACACCTGTCTCTTCCCGCCAGGGATGGGAGGGAAGCGTGGAAGCGGGACAGTCGGGGAGTCTCGGGGAGGGAAAAGGCCTCAACCCACCCCCAGTTCTGTTGTAGGCACTGGGCGCACTTTGTTCACCTTGTCTTCGGCAGCACAGCACAGAGACACCGCGACTGAACAGTTATTAAAACCCAGGCCAACAAACCCCCTCCACGACGTGTAAAGCCTGGGGAGGACCCGCAGGGCGGGGCGGGCGTGGAACTTGCTGGCGCCCTGTTCACTGCTCAAACCCTGGGGCGATGAAGAGAGCCGAGGGGATATGGAGCTGCAGAGAACAGGCTGGGTGATTCCAGGGTCTTGGCTTTGCCATGGGAGCCTAGGATCCACCCAACCCCAACCCCTGCTCTGTGCAGGTCTGCGACTACTGACCGTGTATGCGGGGAGCCCCTGGGGGCCTGTGCAAACCCGCCCTGCCCCACGGTGCTCCCTGGCTGAGGCGCTCAGAGCGCAGGAACTTTCTCACTCAAACCGGCCGCAGCATCCCCGGCCCTCTGGAGCCGCAGAGCCGGCCGCCTTGCGGGGCTTTCCCAGCCAGCCGGGCTCCTGCACCCGCCGGGTGCGCACAGGGGTGGGCAGCTGAGCCTGGAGCCCGAGAGCCCACAGGTCCCAGGCTACCAGGGACAATCGCTGCCGCCGCCCTGCGCTGGGGGACAGGGCGCTCCCCGGGTGCTCTCTGCACCAACAGCCGGCAACACCCGGCTCCGGCCGAGGCCTGGGTGGAGGCGAGCGGGGACCCAGTCTCCTGGCTCAGACTGACCTTTACGGGGGACGTTGACACGAGGGTGACCAAATGTCCCGATTTTATAGGGACAGTCCCAATTTTGGGGTCTTTTTCTTATATAGGCTCCTGTTACCCCCCCACCCCGACTTTTCACATTTGCTGTCTGGTCACCCTAATTGACAGTGACCGCAGGCACCGCCTGCCAGGTGAGGTTTCTCCAGCAGGCGCCAGGAACTGCGCACCCAGCAGAACCCGCACCTGACCCTCAGCTGTGTACCAGCCCCTCATGCCGGGCACCGAGCTGTGGGAGCAGCCAGCTCCTGGCACAGGTGCTGAAACTCGGGGTGCGGGGGGCTGCTGCATCCCCGGCTTGAAGCGGTTTCCATGATATGCGGGGTTCGCAGCTCGGCTCAGTGGCTCTGGAACCCCCCACTAGACAAATTCTTCCTGCACCGCTGGCTCCTGGTGTCCGCGGGCTCCCCGGGGCCGGCCTCCCCCCGGTATTACACCGGCCCAGGGCCCTGGAGCGCGCTGGGCAGGCCCTTGGATTGCGAGGGTCAGCCCCAAAGCTCAGGGCAGGCGGTGCCACCGTCCCCCGCCCAGCCCCCCGCACCGCAGAGCTCGCAGGCCGACCCGGGGCCCGCTAGGCAGGGGCCCGCGCTCTGCCAAAGGGCGGCCAAGCCTGCTCCGGCCGGGACCCACTTTAGCAGGGTCAGGACCAGCAGCAGGGGCCCCCTTCCTTGGGCCCGAGCGGCGGGATCCCTCCCGCAGGCTCCGCGGAGTTGCACGCCGCAAACCGCACTCCGAGGGCGGAAAAGCAGCCGCGAGGCCGAGCTCCAAGGGCTGCAGCCCGAGGCCGCGGCGCCCTGGCTGCCGCTGGAAGGGGCGCGATTCATGGGTGGCGCTGGGGACTTCGAAAGTTAAACAGGGGCCTTTCTTCCTGCGCGGAGCCGCTTCAATGGGGCTCTGTGATCCCTTCGTGCCCTCGCCATGGCAACCGGCAGCATCCCGGTGGAAATGCCCCCGCGCCACGCAAGGCCACCGTCCTCACAAAAGGCAGCATCTGGCCCCTTTCACCAGCTTTACGGCCGTGCCCCGGCCACGCCTGGGTGCCTCGGCTCGCCCCGTCGGGTGGCTGCAGCGGGGGAAGCCGTGGGGAGTCACCGAAGTGCCGGGGAGTCTCCCTGCCCGTGCGCCACGCCGGCCTTCAGGCGCCCCGAGCTGGCGTGGGTCCCCGGGCTTTGCTCGCCGCCTGCCCGCCGGGGCCGAGAGGACATGGCCGGAGCGAGGCCCTCGAGCCTGCGCCGGGGTCCTGAGCCAGCCCTGCCCGGCCGGGCGGCTGCGAGCCAGGCTCGGCGCTGCCCTGAGCCGCCCCGGGGAACCTCCCAGCGCGCGGAGCGGTGCCGAGCCCGCGGGACAGGAGCGGCCGCATCCCCCGGGCCGCCGGGCCGGGCCGCTGGGAACACAACGCGCTGCCCTGGCCGAGTTGCCCGGGGGCCCCGGGGGCTCCTCGTCCCGCCCTTCGCCGGCCAGCCTGGGCGGGGGGTCTCCCGCCAGCGGGGCCGGGGCCGAGCCCGACGGCCGGGGCCGGGCGAGCCTCCAGCCGCTCAGCGCCCGCAGCGCGACGCCCCGGCCCGGCGGGCAGGAGCCCCGGCCCAGGCCGAGCCCCGCAGGGCCCGGGGCGCAGGGGGAGCCGCACGGAGCCCGGGCGGGGCGCGCCCCGCAGCAGGTGCCCCGCAAAGCGCCCTCCCCACGTGGCGAATCGCAAGCCAGCATGAATGAACAGCCTCCCTCCAATCAGAGCCCGCCCCGGGGCCCGGAGCACGCGGGCTCCCCAGCCCCAGCGCCTCCCCGGCCAATCCCTGGGAGCCGCCTGCACCCCCGCCTCCAATCGGGGAGGGAGGCGAGAGGAAGCGCCCCGAGCCGGGGGCACCCTATGAAGGCGAGGAGCCTCCTGCCAGTCCCGGCCGGCGGAGCCAATGGGGCGCGGGGGGGAGTGGCCGGGAGCCCGGCACCCACCGGCGCCCCGCAGCCCGGCTCTAAAGCGCAGCGCTCCGCCGAGCGCCCTCAGTGAGCGCGGGGAGCCATGGCCGCCGCAGCCCAGTACCTGCCCCGCAGCAGCCCGCTGCTGCCCCCCGACTCGGGCCGCATGCACCAGGGCACGACCTACCGCGAGGTGCAGAAGATGATGCACCACGAGTACCTGCAGGGCCTGGCCAGCGGCTCCGGCCACCCCGTGAGCCTCGGCCACCCCCAGTGGCTGCCCAGCGCCGGCTCCGACTGGGGCAGCGGCTCCCACCTGGGCCAGGCCGAGCACGGCAAGGGCGGCGTGCAGGGGGCGGGCCGCGAGGAGCTGCCCGGCGCCTTCCACCCCCGCTCCCACCTGGTGCACCAGCAGGCGCCCGGCGGCCACCCGGGCGCCTGGGCGCAGGGCAGCGGGCACCACCTGGCGCCCATGTCCCCCACGTCCGGCAGCCACCAGCCGCTGCTCTACTCGCAGTCCGCCTACCCCAACCTGAACGGCATGCTGGGCCCCCCGGCGCCGGCCCTGCACCACGGCCTGCGGGACCCCCTGGGCCACGAGGAGGCGGCCGGGCTGCACGACCCCCAGCTGGAGGCCTCCCCGCAGCACCTGGGCCACCCGCAGGAGCACTCGGACGAGGACGCGCCCAGCTCCGACGACCTGGAGCAGTTCGCCAAGCAGTTCAAGCAGCGGCGGATCAAGCTGGGCTTCACCCAGGCGGACGTGGGCCTGGCCCTGGGCACCCTCTACGGCAACGTCTTCTCGCAGACCACGATCTGCCGGTTCGAGGCGCTGCAGCTCAGCTTCAAGAACATGTGCAAACTCAAGCCCCTGCTCAACAAATGGCTGGAGGAGACCGACTCCAGCACGGGCAGCCCCACCAACCTGGACAAGATCGCGGCGCAGGGCCGCAAGCGCAAGAAGCGCACCTCCATCGAGGTGGGCGTGAAGGGCGCCCTGGAGAACCACTTCCTCAAGTGCCCCAAGCCCTCGGCCCACGAGATCACCTCGCTGGCGGACAGTCTGCAGCTGGAGAAGGAGGTGGTGCGGGTCTGGTTCTGCAACCGGCGGCAGAAGGAGAAGCGCATGACGCCGGCCGGGGTCCCGCACCCGCCCATGGAGGATGTTTACGCGCAGGCGGAGACCTCGCCGCTGCACCACCCGCTCCAGAGCTCGGTGCAGTGACTGGGCGGCGGGGCAGGGGGCTGAGGGCGCCGGGCCGCGGCGGGTGCAGCTCTGGAGTTTACAGCGAGGGCCCGCGGGCGGCAGGGACCGCGCCCGGCCCGGCCAGGGAGCCCGAACCCCGCCCGCGGCCCCGGCGGGAAGTCGCGCTCGGGACTTGGTTGCTGCCGCTTGGTTTCGGGCCCTGGATGCCGAGACTCGCCGGGCGGCGCGTGGAAAACGCTCCTTAATTTATTCCTCAGACTGGTGCGCAACTGCAATTTGTCTCTAATTTAAATCGCTGTATTTATTTGACTTCCAAAAATACCGCGCGCTCCAGAGCCCCGCGGCTCTGCAAACGCCGCGAGAGGAGAACTAGCCAAAGGTTTGAGATCTAATTTATTCTTCGTTTGCTCCCATGCCACTGACCCTGCGGGGGGCTCTCTCCGGCCCGGCTCCCCGCCCCCCTGTCCCCCCCCCGGCTGCAGGCTGGGACGGGTCGGGGAGGGGCGAGACCTGGTGCCGAAGCTCCCCCCCCCCCCGCGGGCCCCTGGACCGGTTCCGCTGGCGCTGATCCCCCCTCTCCTCCTGGGGGGCCGCCTGCCCCCGACCGCCCGGTGCAGACTGCGGCCTCTTGGCTTCCCAGAGAGCGGAGAGTTTCCCAGGGCTCGCTCCAGGGGCTCCCCGGGCTGGCGCTGCGGGGCCTGGGAGGGGCGCTGGGGAGCGGAGGGGTGTGCGGGGCGGGTCGCGGTAACTTTCCCAGCCCGGCTGTAAATATGTGAGATATGTACACACGTGCCCGCCGCTCCGGATCCCCGCTCCGTCCCCCGGCCGGTTTTTTACACGGACTGATTGCGAGAGGCTATTTTAATATCGTTTCCCGTCCCGTTTCTATTTATTTCTAACCGCGTTCAGAGCCCCCCTTCCCGCGGGCAGGTTCGGTTCATTCCGCAGCGTTGGGTTCGGAGTTTTTGTTTTTTAATCGCAAAAAACTATGTAGCCCGCGAAGTTACGTTTCTATTTATGTTTATAGTAAATATTTTTATTACGTACATAAACCATCCCCCCCGGAACCGGTCTCGTGTCTTCTTTGCAGGCTGCTGGACCCTGCCCGGGAGGCTGGCGAGGGCTTGGCGTTAGGGGAGCTGGCAGGGAGCGGGCCGGGGCAGCGCGGAGCGGGCAGGGCAGGGGCCCCAAGCGGGCAGGACGCTCCCTGGTCCTGTGGCCCAGGCCAGGCGGGGCTGCCCGTTGCTTCAGCCGCTCCGACGGCTTGTTTTTTTCATCCCCGTAGAAAGTTTGAGGCAAGTTGGGATTTTCCTTTGCAAGGACCATTCCCACCGCCTCGCCTGGCTCCGCAGGAACCAAGCCCCCGTTCCCAGCAGCAGGGGCGTCCCGTGCTCTCCCTGCAGGACAATGGGGCAGCTCCAGAGAGACCGGGACTGCAACTGTTGAAAAACCGAGGCAAATAAACGCCCCTGGGGCAGGGCACCTGCCGGCCTGATCGCAAATGGCATTTAAACTTGGAGGGGGGAGCCGCTGGTTCCGCATGGGGAATTGAATCCTAAATCATGACTTCGGGTGTTCATGTTTGGTCCAAGGGGAATGTGTCACAGTGAGATTCAGAGTCCATGTTTACTGGCTGCATCCTTCTAAAATCTTATAACTCAGATCCCCTGACTCCTACGGCTTATAGGCGGTGTTTGCCAAAATTATTCTCCATTCTGCAGTGTGTGCAACTTGCTCTTGATACTCCAGGAGCTGTGGACTCCATCAGCAGGGAAGTGTAAAATCAAGCTCTTTAAACAAATGTGTGGAAGCTCTTACACTTACAAGGGTCTCTGGAAGAGATGAGCTGCCCGTACAGGGATCTCAGGAAAATTATAAGTATATTGTGCGGCCCTAGCTAACGGGAAAGAATCTGGTCTGATTTGTTCTTCATACCCTGCATTTTTTCAGTTCCAAAGATTTCCCTAAAGAGAAGGTAGAATTTAAAACAAAATGTGACTGTTGCAAATCTCTTCCCCATCATATTCGCAGTTAGTGCCGTGAGAGAGAGAGGCGCAGACAGGGCTAAATGCTCACCTGTTACCTGAGAGAGAAAGGGAAACCCTTTTTTTGTTTTTTGAAGCGGAAGCCACTAGTCTAGAAATGTACATTTTATCTGAAAAGGGAGAAAAAACTCCTCATTTTTCATTTATCATAAACTTAAATCTGAAAAGACAACGTTATTAATTTCTTTTAGAGGTAAAAGACCTGTAATTTTATTTTCCTATTCAGCTTTCTAATGTTCTGTTTAATATTATCTTTGCTTTCAGATAACTCAGATATGTGAAAAATCTGTTACTCACCTATGTTTACAATTGTTACCAATACAGTTAATCAGCATTCACATTCCTGTTAATTACACTTCTGGGAAACTCCATCTTCATGGCATAGGCGTCTATATTGTGTGTCTTTTATGTACACACGCAGAGCTTTAAAATGTAGAATACCGGTGGAATAGCATAATTTGTATTTGGGGTGCTATGATAGTCCATTGAGATTAATACGCCTTTTTGGAATATAGAATACAAGCAGAAAATGTTTTTGTTGTTTTTTTTTTTAAAAGAATTTTCTCACCTTATATTACAGAAAACAATAAACAACAATGTACTACAAGAAAATTCCATCCTAGTACTCAAGCTGTGCTCTCATGGTTTTTGATTTCACCAGATCCTTCTATAGAGTATCATATCCTAATATTTATGCCTATACCAGGGTCTAGAGAATACTTATTTATTTCATGCTCTGTATTTCTAGAAGAATTAATTTGTATCTTTTTAAAGTCTGCTTTCTCTCAGAATTTGTGAGGAAAGGTCACATAAGTGGATTCTTTTCACTTTCACAGATCTTTTGTTTCCAGCAACCTTTGTATGTTGAGAGAACTTTTGAAGCCTGTGTCTGTGGAACTCACACACTGGAGAAATGTTTAATTGCATAAAGTGGGTAAAATGTCAGATAATATAATTTGCTAGAAAACTTCCTATCCGCAGTCTATAATATTTGACACATTGACTTTGGATACATCTCTTATTTTGTGAAACAGCAGGTGTAAAGGGAATTTTGGTTGACGATCGGGCATTACTGTGTGTCAATTCACAAATTAATTTTTTTAGGTGTGAATAATGCAGTTTGCGCCCAACATGAAAAATCTTCTGTTTTCCACAAAAATCTTCTGCTTGGTTTTATTGTATTTTTGTGCCTTCAGTGTTTTGTTTGCAAATGCATTATTGCTCAGGCAAATGTCACAATCAGCCATGTTACTATAAATTAATTATCCTACTTTCTCTGTCATTTTCAAAAATGTAGTTATTGTGTAGTGGCTAATACAAAGGATTTTAATAGCTACAGCTTTCCTACTCTTATCAACTGTTTCTTTGGATTTTTTTTAATTTAAAAAAAGTCACGATGATGGACCATTATCAGACTAAATATCATGTTTGATACCCATAAGTTAGCACACCAGCAAATGGGTTCACCTTGCAGTACAAATAAGCTGGCAAACACTGCAGAAGACCGCATTAATAACTCCTCTAGAGCAACAAAATAACGCAATATTGTTTAAAAGATTCAACACACATGATTAATAAAGCATTTTGTCAGCTTTGATTACATGCTCATGTTCTTAATTTCTTTCTGCTTATGTGACTGTTTCACAAAAAGGCAGGGACTTGTAGTTCAGCAACATGAAATGGGGTGTGGAATTCTGAATACAAAAAAGTTTGTGTGTGTTTATAAATTTTAGAATTTGCTGGGCGTCTGCAATGGATTGGATAGCATACGCTCAGAAATAAAATAATAATTATAAATACATGCAAACCAGGTTATCATCCAAAATACCTTTATGAAACTATGGAAACATTTCCACATTTCAAATCCTTTTACAGCTTTTATTTTTTTCTCTGTTTCACCCCCAGACACTTGCTTTTAATTTTGGTATTGTAACGTTGAGGCCATTTTTAGAAACCTTTTGGTGATATCTAGTCAGGTTTTTGGTTTTTTGTTTTGGTTTTTTTTAAAGTCATAAAGCAAAAGAAGGAAATAAGTAAAAGAGAGAGAGAGAAACTCCACTGTGGGGCTTGCAGGAAGTCTTTCCCGTTTGCATTTGGGGATTAACAGTACAGAATTGAAGCCCGTGCCTGTGTGTATCATGAGCAATTTAGGTAGGCTAGTTAAAAGAAGAGAGACCATGAAGCAAACAGTATTACATTGCTATTTAAAAAAGAGGGGTCAATTTTCACATTTCATCCCCATAATGGATAAGATGTGAAGTGAGTTCTGCTGAGGACGAACACCCTTGGGTTGTTTGGTTTGTCAGAATATATCAGGCACTTGCAGCCCCGTTGCATTAGCGTGCTCATGCTATTCCACAGCACAAATAAGACACTTTATTTGTGCAATTCCATAACGCTTAGTCCTTTCAAAAACCAAATACCCCAGGGTTTGCCTCAGTGAAAAGAACAGTTACTTTTCTCAGGCCAGGAGTAAATAACAATTAGGGTGTTGGGGGATTTTTGTGGAGGTAGTTTTGGTTTTATTTTTAACCTTTAGTGAGTGTGTTAACATGAGCATTCAGTCTACTACATGGACATAACACAGGTAAAGATGGGGAGGTAGTTTTAGTAGGTCAGAAAAAGTACAATTATGAAAACACTGTCCACTACCAGCAGGTATAAAGGGAACTTAGACTCTGCTCCCATAGGCAGTGGTTGGCCACAGCATACACACCCAGAAAACAGAAGGTGTTTCCATTGCACCTACATTCAAATTCTGTTCTAGTCTACATAGGTTTGTATACTACACTCATCAGTGGTGGTGAGGGGCTGCCACATCCCTGGCTTGAAGTAATAATTAAAACCACTAAATACACGGTTTCCATCAGCAGCACCTCCACTATTAAAATTGTTCCAGCCCCCCCCCGGCGCTCATCACCAGATTAGTCAGGCTTTTAATTAACATGAAACTGCATTATGAGAAATTCCCCAATACACCAAGGAAACAATCCTTGGGTTGGAGCTCCAAGTTGTTTGGTTTCAGAGGAGTAAAGGCTTAATCCATCTTGCCTTGCTCACAGGCGTAGCCCCAGTGGGTGAAAGCCAGAGTAATGGGGCTCTACGCAGCCGAGGGGTGGTGGGGCCGGGAGGTAAAATCCACCCGCACACCCAGGGGCTGAAGTCATAGCCACAACCCCTCAGTGCCACTTGCCAGCTGGGACAGTTGGAGCCCAATGAATATGTCCCTGTCACCAGACCACCCCTTCCCCAGCCTTTGTGCTGCCCAATCCATAACAGTGCAGGGAGCCTGATGAGCCAGGCGGGAAGGTCACGCTCTTTTGGGAGCAGAATAACCTGCCATGATTATCTAGCCAGTGTGGAGGGGGAAGTGGTTCCCAAAAGGCGTTGCCCTAGATATTGTTATCAGATATTTCAGGGAGAGAGACGGGCTCTATTCTGTGAGGCAGGGGAAATTTTCGGCAGCGTGGTGCTTGTTTTCTCTTGTGTCTTTAATAAGGTAGGAAACTGATGGGCGAGCCTGGTGGTGACAATGGATGCTTTGCCCATCTGCCTGTCTAGCCAAAGGTCAGGGGGTGTCAAGAACATCTTCATACTCTGGATTCGTGTCTAAGAATGTTATGGCAGCAACCTGCAAAGGGAGGAAGACTTTGTCTGTGAGGAATAAACCTGCCCTATACTAATCGCACGCACACAGCCATGGAAGTGGCTGGAGAGCGTTGCAACCTGGGGAAATTTGCTGCCTTAGACACTCTTGGTTATTGATGCCCCAGAAACCTATTTGATCTCAGCAACAGAGCCCCGCTATTCCACTAACTGTAGGTCATGCCTAGATCCAGTGCACCATGGGGCCTGATCCTGCTCAGCTCTTGGTAGAACGAACTGCCTCTCCACAAACGAAAGCAGTAGCAACATAATCCCTGTTTGGGTCAATTCAGCCCTGTTATGAAACTTTGAAGCGGTGAGTGACAGTTGACAGTTCCTCAGTTGGCCCACTCCGGCCCCCATTGCAGGATTAGGCTGTGTGTGACTTGATGTACATTTAACTCTGTGTTATTAGGGCAGTGGTTCTCAACCAGGGGACATGTACCCCTGGGGTTTCGCAGAGGTCTTTGAGGAGTATGTCAACTCCTCTAGATACTGGCCTAGTTTTACCACAGGCTACATAAAAAGCACTAGCAAAGTCCGTTCAAACTAAAATTTCATACAGACAATAACTTTATACGGCTCTATAGACTATCCACTGAAATGTAAGTGCGACATTTATATTCCAGTTGATTTATTTTATAATGATATGGTAAACATAAGAAAGTCAGCCGTTGTTCAGTACTAGTGTGCTGTGACGCTTTTGTCTTTTTATGTCTGATTTTGTAAGCAAGTCGTTGTTAAGTGAGGTGTAACTTGGGGGTGCGCAAGACAAATCAGACTCCTGAAAGGGGTACAGTGGTCTGGAAAGGTTGAGAGCCCCTGCTCCAGGGCACGGACTGGCTAATTTTACAGGGCTTTTTTTTCCATCAGTAAATTCTGTGGCAATTGATGGCAAAACTTCCATTGTTCAACAGAAGCTGGATTATGCCCTGTAGTTGAGTCCTTATTTTCCAGGATTGCGCTGGGATCATGCATCAGAACTGAAGCCAGTAATTATAAAAACATTTCATTTATCTGCCTCTTTTTTTACAGTTATGTAAATTGAACTTAGCAAGTAATAATAAGCAACAGACTCAATTGCTTTTGCTTGTAGTTTGTTACGTGGGCTAGAGAAACAGTGCGTGTCCAGCTGTGGTACTCATGCATGCTCTGCGTCTCTTAGCCACCACATTGATGCCTCCCTGCTGCCCTGAGAATACCATGTAGGCTGACTGCCCTCTATTGGCCCTAGAAGGGGAAGAGAATACAGGAGAGCAGATTAGCTCTGACATTTTGAACGGGACCTTGTGCAGGGGCGGGCGGAATTAAAAGGTACACCAGGCAATTCGAATGTCTGGGTTTGGTAACTTCTCTGCTCACAAGGGCCTGACCCAACAAACCCTATTCACATAAGCCATCCCACTGAAGCCAACAGCCAACCCTGGCTTTACTCTAGTGTAAAAGAACTAAAATCAGGCCATATTATATACATAAAAAATTCAGAGAGATACAAATCCCAAACCTTTGATCCAGAATCCCACAGAGCATTGCAAAGTTGGAGTACAGCTTTAGGGTCAAACTGTGTGTCAGGCTGATTTTTAACATCTGTTGGGGGTACATAAATGCTCCCACACTTGCTCTCTCTTAAATTTAGCCAATTGTAGCTAATCAAATGTTTTCCTTTGTGATTCATGTAAACTGTGCCTGTGAAAGTTCCCAGTAGTTTCAATTAGAACTAATAAGACCAGGCTTCTTTGTGTAAGTAATCATGCCAGGTCTGGGACTTATGAGGTTGCAAAGGCAGCATTAAAGCATATGATACTGTACACAAGAAATAATGTTCATGTTAAATCAGACCCCATGAATAATTCATGCAGCTTGATATCCCATTGTTTTTGGTGCTAGTCAAAATCAGGGTTATTTCTTGTAAGCCCTGCAAAGAAGGCCTTTGTTAATTACACTTGTGTTGAAGGGTCACAGGCTGCTGAGAATGCTATGGGGAAGTGTGCTGCCTAGGTTAGAAAACATCTTTACAAAGTATGATTTTTTAAAAAATTTTGTATTTTGCATCTTCATTTCAGAGGCCTCTGGGGAATAAAGACACCTATGTTCCAGCTCCAGTGCCCAATTCCTTTGCCTTTTTATGAACTGTCCTATTTTCTTCATTCATTTCACACAGCCCTACAGATTGTGATTCACTCCTGATAGCTTTCCCCATATTATCCTTCAAAGTCCTGTTATTATTTAATCCCCACAGAGTAGCTGCACTGTGACAATGATCTTTGCAGCCGCAGAATAGTATTTCTTTTATCATTTTCGAAACTGACCTTTCTGCAAGTAATTTGGGGGAGATTAGGATTAGTATTTTAGGGCCCTGTCTCAAGTGGCTGGAACCACTTAATCCGAATCCAGTGTGTCCGAATTACATGAATGAATAAATGCACAAAATTCTGTTTCTACATCCCATCATATTTGTACATGTTTAAATACAACCTGCTAATCTGGAACAGTGTCTTCTCCTCACTGGGAGCTTGCTCCAAAGCCAGTGGAAGTTTTCAGTTTTTTATAGTGTTTCCATGGAAATTTGGCCTGTTTGTGGTTCTTCATCACCTCGTGTTCATTTCTCTCTCACCCACGCAGGGGGACACAAATTTTGGGAGATGTGGCTGAAAATCCTCCTCAATTTAGGGGCTGAGAATAAAGAGCCATTTAAAAACCTCATTCAATTTAAATTTGCAACTGATCAATTAAAAAAAGAAAAAGAAAATGGAAGCTATAGACTTGTATGTTTGCATTCTTTTGTCCTGATATCAATAACAATGACCATTGTATTAATTTAAATGGCCTGCCCATTGCACTGGGCTTCTTATTTTTCTATTGAAAAATTATTAAAGATTTTGTTTAAAAGAATGTGGATATTTTTCTGTTTCACAAACACAATTATCAAGGAGCAAATAGAGTAAAGACAAA